CACCCCATAGTTTAGTTGAACTACAGTCGCCATTCTCTGTTTCCTTTGAACGGCAGTACTTATGCAAATAATTCCGCTTGGACATTCTTACAGCTTGCAACCCAGATCCTTTTCAGTCCAATCGGTCCAGCGAAACAGCTAGACGTACAGTCCCCCTTCAGCGGCATTTTCGTAGTTGACAGCCTCAGGCACTTAACAGTCTACTCAGCTCGACAAGCCCCGATTCCGACCGTGATACATCTGCCCCAGATGAAAAATTTCGGCCGCGAATTATAGATTTTCGCGCCTCTTCTCACGTGACCAAAGGCGTCAACCGTATGACGGCGCACGCACTGGATATTTGCGTTCGCGTAGACTTTGCCACAGTTGAGTACCGTCTGCGAGAAAAATGACACCTTGGTAGGGAAGCTAAACCAAAGCGACTTAAATTCAGCCAATAACCACAAATTTTGCATACGATTTATGAGGGTCGTCCCGTAAGTTTTCGCTAGTAACCATGACTTTAGTAGTCTTGTTTTTGTTTCTTCTTTGTCAAGAATATTTATATATTTGGCGAGTTAACCGAATTAATCGTTTTCTTCTTCGGTGATTTGGTTGATTTGTACCTCCATAAATTTGTTCCCTCGATTATAGTACACGTTTAATAAAAGTTTCCCGTCTCTGATGATTGTCCAGCTACTAGATTCTTATAATCATTAAGGAATGTGAGGTCGGTAAACATACATTCTCAGTCATTAGCTTGCCACTGAATTGGCGTCGTTTTTCCTTGGTAAATATTAAAATTATTCCCCCCTTATCTCCCTCTTTGCTTTATTCTTTCGGACACAACAGTTATCCCCATATTCTATAAGTTTGTTTTATATTCCAGTGTCTAAAAATCGATTTTTTGAGACTTGTCTAATTTAAAGCTGTTAAACTTTCTTATACATTTAAAGGATTACGAAGGAGTCGATCATCGATGTGTTTGGAACCATTAAATCTACACCGTCGCTTGTCGAGGGTTGCTGTCCTGACAATATTGAAATGCACCTTCAGAAAGTGTTTGTTGTCAGTGCATCAGCGCCCGTACTTCCTCTGCAGATTGAAGACGCTATGCGGCCTGAAGACGATGAGGTAGGTAGCAGTCTTGGCCGTATCTTACCCAAGAAAGTGCCTTGTTTAGTTAATGCACTTATTCAATTTCGTAGTCCGGCGGGCCATCCCGCCTACGAGTACTTTAATCTGTGATCGATTTTCGTTGTCCTATTGTTTTAGACCCTCAGTCGCGTAAACCAAGACACTCGACTTGACAACCGGTACATTGATCTCCGTACACCTGTGAATCAGTCCATTTACCGCGTTGAACATGGTATCGTCCACTTCTTTATGGAGTATCTTGACAAAAATGGATTTACCAATATTCACACTCCCAAAATGATCTCGGCTGCATCGGAAGGTGGTGCCAATGTCTTTAAGGTCTCTTACTTTAACGGCTCGGCTTTTCTGGCACAGTCTCCCCAGCTTTATAAACAAATGGCGATTGCTGCCGATTTCGATCGGGTAAGCTCCAGTCGTTCTCCTTACCTCGAGATCGACGTCTTTTTCAGTACTTCTCTTCTTTTGTTGTTGAATACCGAGTCCTACTGCCTCATTCCATGATAACGTAGGATCTGGCAATCATATTTGCTTAAATAGGAATAGCTTTACAAAATTCTCGGAAAGCCATCTTTACGCAGATCGATTTTCGTCTGTCTGGAGGCTAAGCAGCCGCTCTATCACGGACTGCCTTCCTGTCGCACGCGGTCTAAAACAGGTTTTTTCATTCTCGCTTTGACTGCTGACGTATTATCTTACCAGCTCCTACTGTCTAACCCGCATTTATATTATACTCATTTCGGCGTTAGAAGCAGTCCAGTAATTTGAGTACAATTGCTTCCAGGGCGTTTCCAACTGTCGGAGGTTATATTTATTACGGGGGTCGGTAAAATTTTAAGCCCTCCGGGCCCATTGCCCCATGCCATAATAGATTTGTATTAATTGGTACCAATTCTTAGTTTTTCTGCACACAAGGTAGTTAACTTGCATCGTTTGTGCTGGTATCCATCTCCTAATATTTAATTTACGTTAAAGGTTTACACTGTTGGTGCCGTCTTCCGTGCTGAAGACTCAAATACTCATCGTCATCTTACCGAGTTTGTGGGTCTCGACCTTGAAGTTGCCTTTAAGAATCATTACCATGAGGTCGTTGACCTCATAGCTGATATGTTTGTCCACATGTTCAAAGGACTACAGCGCCAGTGAGTTTTGTATTTTGACTTAATTGTCCCTAAAATAGCCTTTTACTACATCTCAATTCTTCGTTTTCCGCTTGAATTGACTGTCTCTAGTCCATTTGTTTTCATTTTTCTGCACACTTGCCTGTTTGCTCATCCTCAGACTGTAATTTAAGTCACACTGGCTTTCGTTATGACACATATGGGCTGCGGGGTCAACGTAACTTTTTCTTAGGTGTCAGCACGGTACGTCTGACTACCCATTGCATCAACTCTCATTTGACATAAGAGGAATAAGATTTACATTCGAAGAGGCGAGGACACGCCCACTATTTTCACTGATTCACGGAGTCGCGTGACGTTGAGTATGTTTCCCTTCACATCAAGAGCCGGTTTTTTGTCATGTAGTTCCAGTATCTCGAATCTGCTTTGGTTGAGAGTAGGAAACAGCGGCCTGAGTATGCATAATCCGCAAAAATGTTTGGACAATCTATGTACATATGTAGTCGCCAGTCGTGTCGACTGCGTCTGGCATTAGGAATACTCGAACCTGTGTCGCCCAAGCGTAGTTCAGTTAATAATAACAAGTATTTATGTAGTCTATCACAAGCAACGGACACAACTGACCCGGAGAGAGTATCGTAGTGGTATTTTTTAAAGCTTGTTTCTGGTGAATGCTTTCATAAATTCTTTATTTTCCCACACTGTTTTAATAATAAGATATAGCCATGATGACCGGAAGTGGACGTGAAAGCAGTGGTTGGCTTGGCTGAATCGGCTTTACTTTCTGTTCTCGGTATACATCGGCATATCTAACGTCCGTAGGCACAGACCGAAATTTGATGTGCATATTTGGGCCGAACCCCGTCAACCAGTGCGTAATATACACATACTGCCAACGGACAGATAGTAGTATATATTGACGTCGTAACTTACCCTACTAACAGCCCAAGTACTAGCTTAAGGGCAAGGCACGTGTTCCGCAGGTATTCTGCCGTTGCTCGACACAGTTGCGAGGGTTCCGGCTCATCAGTGGGTCCCCCAACTTTCCTGTTTAATACTAGTGCTAGTTCTTTCAATGCCCAGTACGCCGTAGCTGCAGATTCTGAGTTGGCCTTAAGTTATATTTTTATATTGTGTATTTAAATCATAAATATCTCAGCCTATCGAGCCTGCGGAAACATGAATTTTCTAGAAGAATCCTTTATCAACTTTAGTGTATATTATTTTTTTCTAACTTGTGTTCTATTTTTTTCACGCCAATCTGGGTATCTTACATTTTAGGTACGCGACTGACATTGAAACAATCTGCAAGCAATATAAAGCCGAACCGTTCAAATTCCTGGAGCCAAGGCAAGTCACACTCGTATTAGGCCCTTATTTCGTATGCCTTTTACCCGCTTCGTTATTTTAATAAAAGCAGATTACCAAATTTTTGTGGATCTGTTTTTTACGCGTTTCTGTGGGTGCCTTTACAATCGGAATCGTACATCAGTCTCAATGTTATAAAATTCTGCTTATTCTTACCAGACCAAGTTTTAAGTCTTAAACTAAAAGAATGGGCGGTATTTCACGTACAAAACCGAAAATTCCGCAAGCTTGATAATCACTCGCAAACGGGTATTAAGTCGGATTTTAATACTAATTATCAAGCAGCCTAATCTCATGCATTTCAGTCACGCCAGGATGTCGGATTTTTAACGAGCTTCTTTATTACTTAAGTAGCCACTTCTTACAAAATATAATTTTCGCAATCTTTCAGAAAGAAGCTCATTACAAGCCGGCATCCTGATGTGACTGAAATGACTTTAGGTTAGGTTGCACAATAAGCAGTACTACAACCCTACTTAGCGTCGGTTTGCGAGTGATTATAAATATTTCGCAAATTTCGGTATTGTGTATGAAATACCAACCGTACAGTACGTCTTTGGTAGAAGGATTGCACAGTCGCCTCTTTGACCTTTCGACTGACCATCCTTTTTATCTTCAGCCTTCGTCTCGAATTCTCTGAGGGTATAAAAATGTTGAGAGAGGCCGGATGGGAAGTTGGAGATTACGAAGACCTGAGCACTCCGGCCGAGAAGTTTTTGGGCAAACTAGTGAAGGAGAAGTATGATACAGACTTCTACATTCTTGACAAATTCCCCTTGGCCATCCGACCATTCTACACTATGCCCGACCCACATAATAAGGTAACATTGACACTATAGTCTTTTTCACTTTACGGTATGATCCCTCTGAGACTGCATAGCCCTCTTGGACGCGGGAGAGTTTTATCGCATTGTTCGCCTAACTGGTTTTATCTCTGTGGTAACTGCTCCGCCAGTCACTTCAGTCACTGGTCTTTTTAAATGTCTGCTGTCTCTTAAAGTCACATGGGCCTAGTTGATTCCTAAGCACTTAGCTGACAGCGTTTGATTCCTTCTGTAA